CTAAAGGCAGTACAGTTGTGAGCCGGAGAAAACTAAACACAGATAAAGGAAACACCACAGAAACAAAAACACCACTTAAAAACATGAGTTTCAACCCTCTATCTTTAACTGAAAGCAGCTTAAAAAAAAAAAAAAAGCCTCTTAAAAAAGGCAATTTACATAATGTGTAAAAAAGGCAATAGAAAGAAAACTTCCATTAAGCCAGTCTGCTCTGATGTTCCACCCTGATATACACTATTTCTCTTATTTAAGTGCAGTAACTGGAATCCAAGAGGCTGTTTGTATGAGCAAGGGTCATTCACAGAAGCGAGCTGAGCTGATTTCAGGATCAAGAGAGCCCTTCAAATCAGCAATAACTCTCCCTACCTTCAGTGGACAATACATTAGGCCACTGATATTCAGGCACAGAAGAGAGAGCCCTAAGAGAATTTAACAGGTCATACAGGTTGTTCTCCCTCCTCCCAAAAGCAGGATCAACCCTAAATTATAGAATCATAAAATAATTTCAGTTGGAAAAGACCCTTAAGATTATTGAGTCCAACTGTAATAATTCATGACTGATAGCTGATAAACAATGCTTGAAGCTTTTTAATGACACGGACTCCATATTTTGCTGAGGCCATTCTTCCAGTCTTTCACTGTCCTTATAGAAAGTTTTTTCTAATGTATAACCTGAATCTTTCTCATTACAATTTAAATATGTATTACTTTTTGTTCTATATACTCTAGAAGTGTAAGACATGCCTTTTTTAGGTATATCTAAAGACTATACCCTCTCAGGCTTCTCCTCCTCCAGACTTAACCAATTTAGCTCCCCCATTTTTTCCACAAAAAAAAAAACAAAAACAAACAAACAAAACCCAAACAAACAACAGCAACAAAAACAACACAAAAAATAAACAAAAAAACAAAAAACATTCATGTCAACATGTTCATAGAACATAAGTACAGTGACTCCAAATTAACAACATATCTCACATAATGATATTGCATAGAGAATTTGCAACTAAAAAGCTACACAGGTTTTGTCCCCATCACTTCACTGAGCACAGCAGCTCTGCTAACCCATCAGGTCAAGGCCATTCTGGACTCCACCATGACATCCCTCCGAGCCCATTCCTCTCTTCAGTGGGACTCTGCTAGACACTGCAGGGCCCAAGCACAGTCAGGCAGCTACAAACTTGGCTTCTTGCCCTTCAGTGCCTCACCTCCTCTTGTAACTATCACCAGCAGAGTCAAGCCTGGATGAAAACATGAATCTGCAGGAAGTTTCCTACAGATTTACTACAGGTGAAAAGGCATCTGTGATACACAGGAATACAGCTCTCACAAAGTATGTTGCAAGCTATCCAGGGTGATACAGAGGCACTGGGTGATTCAGTTGAAAAGTTCTGAAAATTAATGTAGACAAACTACAGGTGCCTTTGAAAGAAGCATTTCAAACACACAGAGAATTGAATAGAATTAATATGTAAAAAAACATTGAAGGAAACTCAGTGGGTTCTGATAATAGCTTTGGAGCTAAATAAACTCTGGGAAATAGATTCAGAAAGACGCTGATTTGTCATATGAGGTTGACTAACTCTTTCAGGAATACAGAAAAGGGAGCCCACTCAAACAGTTAGCAAAAAAAAAAAAAAAGGAAGTTAGCAGCACAGAGAAGCTTAGGTCACAAACAGTTAGGTCAAGATGGATAAAGACAGCACAACCCCTGCTCATGCTCTAAACAACATTTAGTGTTATACAGAATCATAGAATCTTTTAGGTTGGAAAAGACCGTTAAGATCTCAATGATCTTAAATGAAGGGTTCCAGTTCACACTAAGAAAATGTATGTTAACCAAACTATGGAAATAGTGGCCTAAAACTGCTGTCAAGAACTAGAAATCTCCAGTAAGTGTCTTAATTGTTCCTATGCAAGTTCATAACGACACTGCTTAAATAACAGATTGGTGCTTTCGAAGATACTTTTTTTTTAAAACCAAAAAGACAGCATAACAACAAATGATTGGAAGACATTTTTTAAAAAATTAAATATTAATCAAAACGTAGAAGACCTTACAAAACAGCAAGTCAACACTACCACTCACTATCCACATTTACAGAAACAAATTCTGGATCCCCTCCAACAGAGAGTAAACTCCCAATTCACCCAGAAGAGCAGAGGAGAGAAGTTATTTTTCAAGTGCTCGCTACACCACTTGAATACTTTTATCAAATATTTTACATCTTCTGAAATAACTTCTTTATTCAAAGAAGTTCTGACTTTATTTCAATGCTTTATCAATGTTATTTATTCTTTCGCTAACAGCAAATCTTAACTCTGTTTTAACAAACCTTCACCCTTTTAAACCATTCTCAGGTGTGATTCACACAGAGTGTCTCCAGAGTCTTCCTCTACAGAGGATAGGTAAATGAAAGATTTGTATTGTTATTAAACAAAAATTGAATGGCCTTCTGGTCCGTCATTGTCCTAGCCACAATAATCTGCTGCCAGAAATTAGAGAGAGTATTTAAAGTTCATTACACAGCCTGCACCACAGGTAACAACATTTGTGGACAAGGAAACACTAGCTGTGCGAAAGAGGCAGCAAAGTCTCTGTCCTCTGCTATCAGCTCAGTTAGGTTCAGTCCCCACCACAGGGACTGGCTCACTCGGCATGGCTGTGCTCTGTTCTTACCCAACTAAATAAAGTGTAGTGCCATGTTATTACCTTCAAATACCAATTCCCCTGCTGCTGCCAAATTATTTAATGTGATGGCCAGAAGGGAGGGACACTGCCTAGTAATTAACTAATACAAACTGAAGCAAAAATCCCGACAAGCCTTATTTTGAGGCCTGATGATCATCAGCTACATTTCCTCCAACTAAGATTTGAGAATATATTTTAAGGCATTAAAAATACAAGGTTTATATTTCATTTCTCCTATGACACATTGTTTTTCATTTTTAGTAAAGGATAATTATTAACATGCCAAAAACACCAACTAATCTTTACAAAATCTCTGGCTGCACGTCAGGGTTATTAGCATTTCCCTTACAAATAGAAAAGCTGAGTTATAGAAGGCAGTGCAAATTACCAGTCATTAATTAGTTCTGGAACTCAAAATTGAAACCAGCATCCTTGCTTCTATGGACAGCTGTGCTTAGTTTCAGCCAGGGGAGGCAATACAGCTCTGAAAGAAGCAGTTAAAGCCTTTACACCCCATTCTTTCCCCAGTGCTGTTACTGGAAATATACCTGCCTTTCAACCAAAATGCAGATGATGTTCCCCAATATGCCTGTGCACTACCATCGCACAACTGGCACACTTCCAATCCTGTGTCTTTAGAGGAACTGGAGGCCACTGGGGAAGAAGGGACCAAGGACATGGGAGGGTATGAACTATTCTTACAAAATGTGCCCACTCAGAGGCTGTAGAGTGATTCCTGCCACAGGTTTTGCTGACTCCTTATTTATGAGGAGTCAACTTCTACCAATCTCTACTTGCTCATAGGTAAAAGGTGAAGACAACCACAAAAACCTCACTGAAATGATAAATCAGCACTGCTCAAGGTCCCCATTCAAGAGAAAATCCTTATTCAGTGAAATATATGTTTTAACTATCACATAAGTCAACGTAGGTTGCATGCAGCAATGCTGGTGATTTGTTTGGAAGGCAGAAGGATGAAGCAGGGATATGCATTTGGCTTAATTTTCCTGAGAGAAAAAAAATCAACCTTTCAGAAATTTGGGCCACGCTGAATTCAACAGAGACAGTGTTCAAGTACTTTGCCCTCAGAAAATGTGAGCACCTGCCCACAGAGCATTACAGGTCTGAAATCCTCTGCCAGACTCCGTAAAGGTTATACCCAGTTCTCAGGACACATAAAATCCCATGGCAACCAGACCCAGAATGTTTAGCTCTTTGTTTGGCATGCTAAATGCAAGCATTTCGAGTTGCCCTTCAGAAGGTTCCTCAACAGTCAACCTGCTACTTTGTACACATTTCTTTTACTCTGTGCTTAAGTTAGAGAATGTTTTTCTTATACCAGTGCTTTCAAAATACATTAATACTACAGGGTGGCAAAAAACACAGGCAGCAGTCCTGTCCATGGCAAAACATCGTCTACTCTTAGGGATGAGGACACAACCATCATTCCAGGAACACGCCAGAGAACAGGCTTCCACATCACCTGCCTTGTGCGGCGAACCTCCCATCACAGCTGCACACCTCCCAGTGCTACAGCAGGGGCAGAAATAGAGAACCAGAGCAAGGCACTCAGTCTTTCACTGGGGGTGCACTTCCAGACCTTAAACAAAGGTGCTTTTTGCCTCTTCCCAGGCAGAAGAGCCCTCCTGGACCCCTCCCCTGAGCGAGACACTCTACGTGTGCCGCACCCCAAGACCAGCAGCCCAGATCCCCCCCTGGGGAAAGTCCAGGATTACCTCGCGCCACTCGGCAAATCAAAACAGGAGCATCCTCGTCCCTGTCCCTAGCACCCGCCGCTTCCCCCACCTGACAATTTTACCCCAGCTCTTCTGCTCCTCAAAGCCACCTCTGCACGGCAGCCTGCCCTCGCTTCCAGCGGGGCCGCTCCGCCCTCACACCTCACGCACCTACAGCCCCAGCGAAGGCGGCAGCCCGCCACGCCCAGCCGCGAGCTGCCCCTCGCGGCGACCGTTAAACGCTCGCCTCGTGGCCCCGCCCCCCCGCGCGCCCCCCCCCCTCCACCAGCGGCTGCCTCCCGCCCCGCCCCGCCCCCCGTATCGCCCGGCCGCAGGCGGCTCCCGGCCCTATCGCCCGCGGGCAGCGCCGTGCCCCGGCCCCGCCAGCGGCAGGCCGGCTCGGTGCAGGGCGGTGCGGCCCCTGAGAGCCCCGCGCCGCCCGGCCCGGCCCGGGGCGGGGCGGAGAGGAGCGGGGAGCGGCGCCCGCCCCGCCCCGGCCCGGCCCCGCGGCGGGGGGCTTTGTTACCCCGCATGCAGCATCCGCCGGGGAGGCGGCTGCCCGCGCCCGCCCCCCCGCCCCGCGGAGCGCTCGGGAGGCGGCGCGGCGGGGGCGCCCCGGCGGCAGGCCCGCCCCGCGGGGTGCCCGCCGTCACTGCCGCGGGCGGTTGGGCCGCCGGCGCCTCCCCCGCCGCGGCGGCCTGATGCGGCGCCCGGCGCCGCCCCGCCTGGCTTCCTCGCCCCTTTTCCCCGAAACCCCTCCGCCTTGACCGAGGAGGGGGGGGGCGAGGCGGGGGGGGGGGGGGCGGCGACGCCCCGTGCCCGGTGCGCCGGCCATGCGGGGCGCGGCCCCCGGCGGCCCGGCGGCGGGCGGCGGGCGCTGAGCGCGGGCGGCGGCGATGCCGATGCCGGGGGGCGGCGGGGCCGCGGCCGCCGCCAGGCACCCCCCGTCCGGCGAGGCGGCGGCGGCTCCGCGGGACGAGGAGCAGCAGGAGGAGGAGGGCGAGGAGGATCTCCGCGACGGCGGCGTCCCCTTCTTCGTCAACCGCGGCGGGCTGCCCGTGGACGAGCCCACCTGGGAGCGGATGTGGCGGCATGTGGGCAGGATCCACCCCGAGGGGGAGCGGGTGGTGCAGAGGATCCGGGGCGCCGCCGACCTGCCCAAGGTGAGACGACCCCCCCCCCCCCAAACCCGCCCCCCGGGGGTGCTGCGGCGCGAGGTCCCGGCGGGACCACGAAGGGAAGCGGGGAACGGTGGCGTCCTGCCGGGAGGGGCCGCTCGCTCGCCCCCCGTGGAGGCCGGGCTCCCCGGCGCGGCAGCGATCCCCCGGGAAAAGGGCCCCGGGTGCTCTGGCGCGGAGGGCGGGCGGGGGGGTGCGGGGCAGCCCCCTCTTCTTCTGGGGCCTTGCTGGAAAGCAGCATTCAAGTTGCTCGTGTGCGAGCCCCCCTGGGGGGGGGGAGGCGGATTGCCCTAAAGAGGAAGCCTGGGTGAATGACGGAAAGATGAAGAGTCGGAATACTTGAGGTGGGAGGGTAAGTGAGACAGGGAGAGGCGACTCCGTGAACCAGGAGAAATTAGGTTTGGCTACAGCCTCCCACAGCAAAAGGCATTCTTGTACAGAACGGTGTCTGTCAGGAAAGAGACCCTTGGTGCCAAAGAGTTTTAAGAGGAGTTAGCAAACGCTCGCAGAGCTTGTCGTTGCTGTGAAGTCAGATGCTGTGATTTCCAAGCCTGTTCCTGGCCTTGCTGCAGAGAACTCCACAACCGGTAATCGCTTCTCTTAACCCTGTGCCCTTGTGCCATTCTGAAACATTTGCATGTGAATTCTTGGGATTGTTGCTATCTGTGTTGCACCTCAGCTGGAGAAAAATCTCCCCCCTTTCATTGGCATCCTGTGAACAAAAGACACTGCAAACATTTGGTGTGTCACTCCATTGGTGGGTTATGAGAGTATTCCCATCACACTGAGGAAATTCAAATACAAAAAGATGAAGTTTTTTTCTGCTCAGGCTTTTTTAGCAAGGACCTACCTCCTTGAGAAGGTAATTTGAAGTATGCAAGAACACGCTATTATATAGTGCACAGGCAATCTGTGCTGCTTTCCATGAGGAACTCTGAAGAAGCGTCTGATGTAACACCCTTTGTGTAGTGAAGAGTTATAGGCATCTGTGGCAGCAACCAGAACAAATCTTGAATCCTGATTACAGTCCCTATTCTATCCCCACTTTCCTTCCTTTTCAGGTTTCCTTCCTCTATTCTGACTTTGTCCCAAGCCTGGGTGAAGGCTGAAAACATGTTTCAAATCAATCACTACTTAATTTCCTGACCAAAAGGGCCTGATTTGGCCAGCAGAGGTGAGGGAAATGGAAGAAACAAGCTCACAAACAAGAGTCCAGTGCACGAGGGGGTGGAAATGCAGTGTTCAGTCTCTGGTTTTGGTTTTAATGTGAAGTACTTCCACTGTTCTCACATTATAGTCTTGGTGCCAAAGGGTTACAGTTAGGGGATGCAAGTGGTATGAGCTCTTGCAATAACAGGTGGAATTGGGATTTTTTTTTTTTTTTTTTTTTTTTTTGGCATCTGCTAGCACCCCTGGGTGCTATTCCGTGTTCCACAGTCTGAGATCCCATTCCCAAGCTCACCAGGCATACAGCTGAGAGGATGCTGGGGTGCAAGAAGGAGCAAGGATGGACAGATTCTGTTTCCCTAGCTCCTTTTCCCCTCTAGTGATGTGTTTTTATCTTTGAGGGCTGCTTATATCACCACCCACCTATACTACCACCCGCCTCCATGCCATCATGTTTCTTCAAATGGATGATGCAACAGATGAGAATTAGGGCAAGGAGTGTACTCTCAGGGCTAGCTCGTTTGTAAAACCAGGTACTGTCCATGTGCTGGAAGGTGAACAGGCCTTTTTAGGTGTTGGGAGCTGGACAGTGGTTTGTCTGCTCTGAAATTTTTTGGACAGTATTGGGTGTTGGGGAAAATAGCTCTCAAAAAAAAAAAAAAAAAAGGTTGTCCATAAACTAAACCTAATACCATAAAATGATGACTGCGGGAGGCTGTGATAAGACTTTATAAATATGTTCACAGATCAGCTGCAGGGTCTGTGTCTTTCACTGGGGTGTGAGAGCTCAGAGATCTTCTCTGGTCTCCATTTCCTTCCCATAGTGTCGTAGAGTGGGAATCCAGTGAGCCATCCCAGGGTGGCAGGACATCGTTGATTGGCCATGCATGCTAGGCTTGGGAGTGCCACTCTCCTGTAGGTTGTTTCCTTTTTAGCAATAGGGCCCATAAAACCGGTGCACACTGGAAACACAAAGTGATGTCTGCTTGCCTCATTAAGAAATGATGGATTTTAAATGAGGTGGTTATGAGGACAAAGACAGGAAGAGTTGCATCTAATGGGTTCATATAGAGAGAGAGGGAGAAAAATCCAGTTTCTTCAGTCAGGCTAACAACTGGGATTGGTATTGCTCCCATGTTGCTTGCAAATGGAAAATAAGGCAGGTGCCTGGATACATATAAGCACCATAAAAGAAACTGTTGCTAAACTAGGCTGGCCCAAGAAGCACCTCCATGATAGGGATAACAGTAGAGCTTTGTCTGTGACTCCCTCCCACCCGCCTTGTCTCATGTACAGCATGGCCGGCTTAGTACATGAAAATCTCTGTTGTTCTCAGGATCCCCCTTCTAAAAGCAGAGGCCCAATCCCATGCATATAGTCAGCCTGCTGGGGGTGCATGAATCTAGGAGTGGGGTGATGCAACCCCCCTACGCGAGTGATGAGGGACCAAGGACACGTTCAGTCAGTCTGCTAAGCCTGGCAGAGGTATGTGCTCTGGGAAATCTGGGCTCTCTTCCTAGTTCTCTCTCCAGCTTTCAGAATAACTAAAGGGAAAGCAGAATAGATCTGATTTCCTATCTTTTCTGTTACAAATAAATTCCTCTGCTTTCTGGAGGACTGTGAAGACTGCCTAATATTTATAGCCTTTCTGAGATGTGCAGTGGATGATGCTGGGTAAGAACAAAGCATTAGGGTCTCCTGTCCTGTCAGTGTGGGATTGAGGGATGGAGATCTTATTCCTCTCCCCCTGCTTCTTTTGTCCATTAAAATGCTATAGACCTGATGCAAAAGAAACTGTAGCCCAGTCTGGGCTGCAGGCCCAGATCTGAGAGAGAGAGAGAGCGAGCATGCTGTACTTTCATCAATTTAAACACTTGAGGTACAGGAGGCTCCTCTGCATTAACTAGTCCCCTGCTGAACTGGGTGCCATTACACTGCCTCAGTGTTGCACAGTCCTTTGAGGAAAAGGGGATCTGGGGGTCTGTGCTAGTAAAGAAAGGAGTAACTAACCAGAGTCATTAACCTGTGCTGTCAACATGCACTCAATCGTTCTGTCTCCACTCAAAAAGCATGCAAGTCTCCCTACTGAAGAAATTAAACAAAGTTAAATAGCCAGCCTGTCCTGGTTGTTACCTCTTTCATTGTTTCTGCCTGAAAATGATTTTCTATGACTCAGTGTGTCAGCTCACAGCATCCAAACTGACTCAGCTCGTGTGGTTCCAGAGACGGCTCCATCCCTGTGCCACTCTCTGGAGCCTTCCCTGCTCCTGCTGCAGCTGAACAAACCCAGTTTCACATTGCTCCTGCCATATACTGTGCCATCTCCTGCAAGTGAGCCAGCCGGTGCCTCTGCTTGATCCATGCAGGGTATGGAAATGAGGCACTGGAGATGGCAATTGGCACCTCCAAGAGGTGGTAGAAAAATGGGTACCAGTGGCCAAATGGTACTTTTTTTTTTTTTTTTAAAAAAAAAAAAAAAATCAAAACATGGGGGAGAAAACACAGAGGCTGAGTTTAGCTCACTGTTTACTTGATGATAGTGTTTGGAGCTAGACTGAAAAATACTTATAGATTACGGTTTCTAGAGGCAACAACAGCCCACCTCTCAAGGTTAAGCGGTCTCTGGCCCCTGTGCTGTGCAGGCACAAGCAGAGTGCGACCACGTGGCAAACCAGGACAGGGAACTGATCTGACTGAAAACTACCCATGCTTGCTGGCTCGGCTTTCAGCTGGTTCAGGTGCCTGGCCTGGTTCACCAGTTGCTTGTGCCAACCCAGGGCAGAAGAAGGAGGTATGGAAATGAGTGGCCACAGAAATACACATGGAGGGTTATGAGTGGCTGATCAGTGCTGCTGTCTACAAAACCGTGGCCAGCAGAGGCAGCTGTGCACAGCGGAGTGGAAGGCCCAAGGGAAGATCTGGTTCTGACTCACTTTCTTAGCTGGGGATAGCCCAGCGCTGGGGGAAGTCTGAGGAGGAACTGAAATACTAAAAACCAAACTGCTACGAAAAGCTGCAGTCTGGTATCAGAGAGGTGTGTGCAAGGCATGAGCTGTCCTTCAGAAGGAAAATGCTGGGCTGTTCCTGCAAGCCTGTCAGTCACACCAAATTTGTGTCGTCTTCATTGTATTTGTCCTGTGGACAGGATCTTTCTCGTTCCTTATACACATTTTCTCAGCTGCTGACAAGGCTGCAGTTATCCCCTGTGGAGCAAATGGTGAGTAAAATCGAACTGGACCCATAAGGCCGAGGCCTCAGAATGGGACAGCAGTCCCAAGGGTGAACTTTCAGAAGTCATTCTGTGACAACATAATTCAAACCAACGGATGCTGCAGGGAGGGGAGTCAAGATGCTGTCAAGCTTGTATCCTGGTCAGTGCCAGCTCACCTGAGATGTCAGGAGGCAGTGAGGGACCTTTATATCCTTGCTTACAGGACTGTTCCATGCTCCGGTGGCTTTGGGGAAACTCATTCTCCATTTTTACCTCTCTCTCCTTCTCTTACTTTTGTTTTGTTCCTTCCAGTTTGCATACTCAAATGAGGCCAAGCTCCCTCAGGTGATAGCTTTCCTGTCTTGCATTGTCAGTTAATTTTATCTAGTTCTTTCAATGTAATGATGCCTAAATGCAGGAGCATTTCACGCAGTTTCTCTTGCAGCTCTGTGGTGGTGCTTCACTTTCAATCCCTTCCCAGTTATCAGTGTGGGAGCAGGGGGATGTTCCTGGTATCATCACTCTGGGAAGCAAAAGGGGGCTGGTTTCAAAGGAACAGGCTCCCTGTAGCTATATGTTACTGAGTTCAGCAAGAAGCTGGAGAGGTTTGCAAGCAGTGATTTATGTTCTGCTCCCCCTTTTAGATTCCCATACCAAGTGTGCCTGCGTTCCAGCCGTCCACCCCCATCCCTGAGCGCCTGGAAGCTGTACAGCGCTACATCAGGGAGCTTCAGTATCCTTTACAGTTACCTCAGCCCCTGGTGTGATAACCCAGGAAGAGGGAGCAAGGGGACGTTCTTTCCCTCTGAAGAACAGAAAAGGTCATTCTGTTGTAGCTAGAGGGGAACTGAAACTTGCTCCCTGAAAACAGGAAGCTGGACTTGGGACGACAGTTTTGCTGCTGTTTCTTTTCTTTTCTGCCCAAGTTATGTTCTGATCCTGTTCACTCCATGTAACAAATGGGCATGTCATCAAGGGCCTTTCCCCACCGCCCACCCTTCCAGGTCAGTGGCTTTACAGTGCCATTTCATTGAAAACATGTGTATCTGAGACCCTGGCAGCCGGGTCTCAAGTGGACTTCAAACTGTGACACCTCACTGTTACGGTATGGGTGAGCTGTGGTGGTGAGAAAACTGCCTCTCAGGTCATCCTACTCAAACAATCTTCTTTGTAGCTGTCTAAAGGACAGTCAGCCATCCTGCTTTTGTGCATCTATGGTAGCCTACCCCTTTATATGCAGAGCTGCCTGTGTGACTGTCCTGGGAATGAGATTTCTCCATCCCTATCGTGCTGGACAGCAGGTATGTGCCGTGCAAGCAGAGTCTAATCTCACTGATGAGATACAGAGCTAGTTCTGGCTTCAGCCCTAAAACAAGGTAAGGCAGCAGACCTTTGGCACCTCGCACTCTTCTAATGTGGTTATGCTCTGGATTGGGTCCCAGTCAGTCTTAGAATAGAGTGCCACGAATGTTTCAATCCTCTGTGCGTGCTGTGCAGACCACAGCAGGCACAGATGTATCAAACTTTATTCTGCCCTGGTAACTGGAAAGCTGAGCAGAGCATGTGCCGTCATCATGGACCTTTGGGAAATGGAGTGGAAACCTGTGTGTGGGGAGGAGAAAGAGAATTGACAGGAAGGAAATACAGTGGAAGTAAGGAGGGAGTATAAATGGGAGAAAGGGAGGAGAGGGAGGTGGAGACTTTCTTGCATTGCTGGGATCATGACTTTGCTGTGAGAACAGTAACATGAAAGTTCTTCAGACAAGTTTTTTTTAAACTCTGCTTTCCAAGCTGTCAAGCCCTTAACTTCTTGCCTCCAGGTACAATCACACTGGGACACAATTCTTTGAGATTAAGAAGAGCAGACCTCTGACTGGGTAAGTGCTGGCAGCCTGTACAGCATTTAATCCTTACTTTAAGATGTTGGGGCCTTGCTATACCCACTGCTTTTTCTCCCATCCCCTGGCCAAGGTCTATGTGGCACTCTTTCAGTACTGCAGCTCCATCCTACTTTAAGTGACTTTATTGTCTGTTGCCTCAGGCACGGCCAGGCAGAGCTGCATCTGGTCTTTTTCAAGGACAAGAGTAGGTTTTGTTGTCATGAATCTGTAAAATCAGTAAAGTAACATAAATGTATTTCAAAGATGTGCAGATTCTGCCTGCTTCTAATTGGAATGTAACTATATGAACTTCTGATGGATTCTGGAATTAGGTCCTGCCCTAAACAAGCTTTGAAAAAGCCAAGTATCTTTATAGGTCTAGCTTTAGAGCTCCCGTGAGTGCCTCTGCAAAATACAGGTTCACGAAGCTTTTGGTGTCTCATACTTTGAAGGACAAGGGGGATTCTCCTGACTGCAGACTTTGGGAAGAGTTGTGCCCCATAAGTTCCTGGAGATAAGCACCTGATGTTCACTGGCTCTCGTGGCCAGAATATGAGTCTCCCAAGACTGGCTTCTTATTATTGGTCTAGTCCATAGACTTACATGACTCCAAATGTGTTGTAATTGGTGCAGTGTCTCCTCCACAGTATTTGTTGAACGGATAGTAGGGTTCATGCCAGAGAAAAGGGCTGCACTGTCCTTGAACCTTGTGAGGCAAACATTGCTGGCTCTAGGTCCTTTGAGGCTCCTGCTTATGGTCACATTGGTGTCCATCCAGAACTCAGTGAGCCAAGTGCTGTGGTCTCCCTGAGAACAGAGATTGGCCTAGTAGGCAGGTTTGCTGTAACTCACTGAAGGGACTTCCTTGAAAGTAGTGACAGCATGTGGTAGAGGCCCGGTTTGGATTTAATATCTTCCTAAAGAAGATATTTTCTTCTGTTGCCATGTCCTCAGTGGGCCACCTTCCCTCCTGGAAACCTACCTTACATATAGAGTGCGAAAGGGCCGAGCTGGCTGTACTTGCATAGCACAAGCCCTCTAACTGTCCTTGTCTTTCCCTTGTCCCACTCTGCAGGCTGATGGACCTGGCCAAAGAAATGACCAAAGAGGCCCTGCCAATAAAATGCCTGGAAGCTGTGATCCTGGGAATGTATCCTTTCCTCTTGGCATTGTGCATGTCTGCCCATCCTTGTTTTCTTCTCAGCTCTCTTATGATGCTTTCAGGCTGCTGCTAATATTGTCACCAAGCCCCACACCCCTCTGTTTTCCCTCCCCAGTTCTCCCCAAAAACCCCAACAATGAAATCCAAATCCAAGCAATTCTCTGAAATATCAGAACTAATTCTTTGGAGTTGCTCCTTCTTCCCAAGTAGGGTTGTGCTGCTCTGGACAACTCTACAAGTGAGTAAAAGATAAAGGAAGGATCTAAGGAACATCTAAAGAAGGGCAAAAACATTACCTAGAGTTAGGTCAGGAAGTCCTCTGTGGATAACATTGTTCTGTTCCTGCAATGTTGCCTGCATGTGTTCTACATTAAAGTTAGGGATCCTCCCCAACTTCTAATTATGGTGTATGTCACTTTATTATTATGTCTAACACTGCCTGCCAGCTTAGGCAATACCTTTATTAATTCTAGACATGTGTCATCTTTAAATACACATCTTTCCTAGCTATCTTCCAGGCTTAGTCTATGTCATTCGGGCTATAGATTCTTGATGCACACTGGCAAAGCCAGCTGCAGGGGCAGAGATGGCAAGTGAGTGGTTCAGAAGAGCAGTCTGATGAGTATTTTGTCCTGAAGGTTCCTTGGTTTGAGTGTGAAACAGTAGCTGGTAAAACAGATAAAAGAAACTGAGGAATAATGCTACAGCGTTAACAGTTTGGGAGCTATGGAATACAGTACGCTTGAGGTGTTAGCATTGCAACTTCTGCATCACAAAAGTGCCTCAAAATTAACCTCCCTCTGTTGACTGTCTTGTTGAAGAGGCCAAGTCTGGTTTCCCCATGACCCAGATGAAAATAGGGCAGCTTGCAATGAGCTGGACTTTTGACCTGGAGAACAAATCTTGCCTATGTGATGCCTGAATCAGCGGTGAATCTGCTGAGCAGGCTGGAAGGGTTTGGAGCAGGAACAAAGTATCTTGTCAAGAAAATGGTATCACTGGTTGTTTCCTGAACAGTGTCTGCTGTCAGTTACCTCACCAACAACATGACCACGCTGGACCGTTTCCCCATCAGCTTCAAAACGCACTTCTCAGGGAACTACTTCCGACACATTGTGCTGGGGGTGAACTTTGGAGGCCGCTATGGGGCACTGGGCATCAGCCGACGTGAGGAGCTCATGTACAAAGCACCCGTCTTCCGCACACTGAGCGAACTCATCTTTGACTTCGAGGAGGCGTATCGCCGCTGCTGGCACACTCTCAAAAAGGTGAAGCTGGGCCACTGTGTGTCCCATGACCCACACAGTGTGGAGCAGATTGAGTGGAAGCACTCCATCCTGGATCTAGACAAGTTAACCCGGGAAGACTTCCGCAAAGAGCTTGAGAGACATGCCCGTGATATGAGGCTGAAGGTAAGCAGCAAGGATGAAGAAACAGTTCACTGCTGCATCCTCTGTCTTGCCTGGCTGATGGTGGGCTGGGGGAATGAAGTGGCAGGAGGCTGTCCTTGATGATGGTGGAGTAGAGGGTGAATTCAAGGCCGGGGGCTCTTTTCCTTTGTTTACAGGCTGGTCCACAACAGATGCTCATGCAGTACTGTAGCTGCAATTAGCTTGGACTGTATACAGTCCTTGGAGCCATAGCTGTAACTGTAGCTTGTTTTTTTTCTGGCTTTTGCATTTTTGATGCACTTGCCTTGCCTTTTTGTCTTTTGTTCCCAACCATTGTTAAGCTTTGTGTTTTCTGGTTACTACTTATAGTGGTTTTCTGCTCATGTTACTCTTTAATTTTTCTGGCAGATTGGCAAAGGAACTGGGCCACCATCTCCCACCAAGGACAGAAAGAAAGATGTCTCCTCCCCACAACGAGGTCAGGCCAGCCCCCATCGGCGCAACAGCCGTGGGGACCGACGGTGAGTGGGGCTGCTGGGCACGAGACCGATCTAGACCAACTCTGGTTTACTCAGACTCCACCTTACTGTCTGGTTTTGTATCCTTCTGATGTCTTACCGGGGTTCTTTACAACAGGGGATACTTCTCTCACCTGCAGTAGCATTCTTGCCTAGGCTGTGCCTTTGTGAGTTTATCATTGCTTAGGGAGTGGAGGGACAGCTGGGTTTTTTTCATTTTGGCAGGGAGGAGGAAGACAGCTCAAACAGAGAGTGATCTTGGTAGCTGATATTTAACCTTACGCAGGGGTCTGAGCTCTGGTGTTTTCACAGACCTGTGCTCCAAACAGATTCCAAAAATTATACTGCTGTCAGTGACATTGTTTTCCTGAAACTTATCTGGAGTACCAGAGCAGACTTTCTACTCCTAACCTGCATTCTCTTCTATGGAGATCGTTGGGAGTGTTAGTGGAGGTTGCAGAATAATCCTGCCCTCAGTAGTGTAGAAGTCTGAAGCTTTCCTGTACCTTTTCCTGTGTTGCCATCTCTATGTGCAGCCCCTCCTGATTGAAAAAGGTTTCTGAATAGTTCTTACCCTCTTTGCTCACAGGCCATCTGGTGAGAAAAAGCCTGCCGATTCCAAAGCCGTGCCAGACCTCAATGGGTACCAGATCCGGGTGTGAAGAGAGCTGTGCCTTGTGTGCCTGGCTCCACGGACTTCTTGCTGGCCACAATGGGGACCTGGATCCACCTGCAGTGATTCCGGCAAAGGGGACAGGGGAGCGGGAGCGGAACAGAGTGCTGATCTTCCCAGGTACTTCCTAGTGGGCCAGTCCCAGAGCTGGATCCCATGGGTCCCAGAGGATTCACCTGCCTGTTTCTGGGAGAGGTGTCCATCTTAATACACTGAAACAAATATTTTTAAAAAAAAAAAATTAAAAAGATATGTACGTTGGTGGGAGCTTGCTGCAGAAAGGATACGAAGTGAGTGGGGTCAGCAGACTTGCTATCAATTTTTTTGTGTTGACAGCAACTAGATGAAGCATCTTGTTGACAGTACTTCTGCCCTGTCTGCACAGAAGTCTTCAACCCATGCAAGGCCTGCAGGGCTGAGAGAGAAGTGATGCTGCAATGGGATGGCCCCCATATCTTGTGCAAAAACTCCTGGTTTTGTCATTATGAATACTTTGTTTAGCATTGCTCTTGTGAGAGACAGGGCTGAATTTGTTCAGCCTGATTTATTGATCATACAAAGACCTCTCATCTGGAGAAACCACATCTTGTGTGTTTAGTCCTCCCTATTTCAAAGCATTTCATTGTCTCTGAGGGGGTAGACAGTGGGATGATGATCCTCTTTACCCACTGCGATACCAGTGAGCTGTCGTTGTAAGTCCTTTTGTGGTTAAGGGGGTCAGGATATGCCCGTAACATTGCCATATGAAAACAGGTACACAGACCCCAATCGTCCCAGCAGTGGAGGCAACGGCAGGCAGGGGCTGGTGGGAAACCCGAACTTTGAGTCATCTCTTCATCAGCCTTCTATTAACTTCTAGTGACTGCTACTGTGAAAGCTTGCAGAAGGCACTCCAGTCACTGAGGTACGAGTTTTAAAAGTTAAAGAAGGATTTAATGATGTGAAAAGGTTTTACAAGCAATTTTCCTTTCCACAAGGGTCTTGCTCCTTCCTCACTGTAGTGTTAGTGCTAGAGTTACAGACACCTGTTGGTGGGAAGCCCTGCTCAAGGAGATGGCAGCTGCTTTCCTGACAGTTCAGCCTGGAGTCTCCTGGAGGCAGTTCCCCACCTCAGTCCTAGACCTGTGCTCATTTTCTGGCTCTTCAGATAGCTGCAGTATTTAACAGCACCACTTAAGCTAGCCTTTGCCAAAGGGCTGAGCTGGGCCTTTCTGCCTGCTTACAGCCTCGACTCTTCCTACACTTCTTTTCAGGGGAATGTTGTACTACTGATTAAGCAGTGTAACATCTGTCAGAAATCTGGAGCGTTGTCAGACCTCTCTTTGAGGCCTAGGGCCTGGAAACAATGGGGTTGCCAGAAGTCAGAACAGCATGGCCTTGAAGTGATCTGGATGTATGGATCTAGGGCATGCAAAAACTGAGGCATGGGAGTAGGAGTATCCTTGAGAGAAACTACACCTTGATGACAAAGGAGCTGAACTTTCGGAAGTACTACATATTTAATTTTCTTAGAACTGGGCTTATTCTTTCCTGTGAACTTGTTCGAAACATGATGGAGCTTAGTTCTACCAGGTTTTATGTCGCAGTATTGCTGTGCCACACCCTCATATAAGCAGTGTTATTTTGGTGTCAGAAAATGGGTTCTTATCCCCAAACAAATCAGCTCTTCTGTGGAGTTAAAGCAGTGTTAATCCTTGAAGCACCACCCACAAGATATTTAACTCAGGCCTTACAAGTTCCTAATTGTACATCCTTAACTGTGATGTAACTTGCAAGGCGCTGTATCTGTACTGCTGCAGTCTGTCCTTCTGAGCTCGCGTTTCTAGTCTGTACTTTCCTGCTATGCTGTACGACCAGGAGGACAATCCATGGGGAGGTGGCAGAACTTGCTGCTGATCCAAGATAAGGTTGATCCAGAAGAGGATGCCAGTTTCCTCGGTGGGTGCAACACCCGTCTCCTCCTTTGTCCTCCAGCTACATGCAACAGTTTGAAATCAGACAGCAGTAGCAAGCCAAGCACCCATTTGAATATGTCCTCTGGTCAATTTTGTGTGGCTATAAATGAACATATTTAGTGTCTGGATGCTATCGATGATGTTAGCTGTAAAGGTGCCACAGTTACCTGTAAATACTACAGGTCACTTGGAAGCCACAAACTGCCTTTGCGTAATGTTTGCTATGCAGCAGACTGAAAGTTCAGGTGCCACTGTGAATCATACAATAAATACAAACGGCAGTCTGCAAGGGAGACTGAATGTCAGGTTTTATTAAAGGGGGTGAAATCCAGAAAAAAAAATTTAAAAGCCACTTAGATAAAACTAGGATGCATCCTCACCATGACTTTGGTTGGCTAGTTAATTCAGAGTAACTGGAAAGCTCTTGAGAATAATTAGTAGCTTCATACAGAGCACATTCAATAACTGGACAGACTTGAGCCTTTTTAGATGGAAAGGAGCAGAAACGTGTTGGGGGAGGAAGACTTCAAAACAGATGGGGCAAGTGAAGGGTCAGCTGCAAGCTAATGATGCTTTCTGGAGAGCAGGGCAAAAGGGATGCTCAGCAGTGTTAGATCACCAGGGCAGAATGGCTTAAAACAAAATGCTTTGTTTGACTTGGTAATTAAGTGCTCTCCTGCAGGATGTAACTGAGGCCAATAGTTGAGAAAACCAAAGGAAGTGGATGTTTAAGGAATGAATGACAGGTAGAGTTCAAGGTTTCTTAATCTTCAACTGCAGGCAGACAAGAATATGCTCTTTCAAGATTTAGTTGCACAATTATGTATGTTAGGAAGCATTTAATTCTTCTTATGCATCTGATGTTGATCCCTTCTCAAGATGGACACAGGAGCAGGCATGAGCCCTCTACTAGAGCTATTTCAAGTCTTCTACTATGTTTCTATGTGTGCTAGAATTCCTGCCCCTTACTGTTTCTATGTGTCTAGTTTAGCAGATGGTGCAGGAAACTGGAAAATGACCTAACAATTCTCCCCTTCTTGCTCCCCAAATCTTTGTAACAAGATGAATCACTTCAATACAAAGCTTAGCTTCCTTGCTAACAAGACAGCATAGCATCCCCCTGTGACAGAGAGGATTAGTGCTATCCAGTTTTATGCCGTAAGAAACCCGAGGGTACAATGAAAGATGAACTTTTACACTTCCACTTCTTTCCTCTCTTATCTACCTGCTCTGGCTTCTGGTCTGTCTTCCTTTAACCATAAGGAAAAAAAGGCTGGAGGCGAGTCCTTTCCACTTTTGCAGTCTTTAGAGCTACAGAGAAGGAATGAAAATACAGAACTAAACTGTAACTCAAACTCCTTAGTGCCTGCAGAACAAAAATGATGGATCTTGAGGAGTCCTGATAAATGTGGATATGATCACTCATGTAGCTCTGGGGTGTGAATTTCACTGCTCAGTAGGTCTCACCCGATATCTGTTCTGCAGCACGAGTCCTGAACTCTGGAAGGGAACTGCATCCATACACTAGGAATGGATAGACACTGCCTATGTTGTATGTGAAATCTAGGTGAGCTTTGAAAGACTTGAACAAAGGCTGACCTACTACTAGCAAAACTATTTTAAATGTAATGCAAACCTTGAAATAAGAGTTCCTCTTTATACTTTTATGCAGATGAGTCCCTTGACAATACCTGGCCAACTGCAATTTTTTTAATGGATGAATGGATTAGTGAGCAAAACTTTCTGCTACAGTGTCACTCTGATATAAATTTCATATGCTAAAGAGCGGGGTTGGGTGTCCATCAGTCTGTGACACACTAGCCATTTTTTTAACTCTGATATGATAAGCTAAATGAGTCTTTAGGAACTTAAAGTATGTTAGCAAGTGTTTTAGCTGGGAGTGGAGTGCTTTTTTTCAGTTGACAATTTTACCTGTGTGCCACTGTATGTTTGGATCAGTACACAGTATGCTCGGATCTACCAGAATAAATGACTCCAGAACTGTGGCTGAAACATAGTTTCTGTTCATGCAGTAGCTGTATTGCAGCTACCAGATCTGCTTAACATGAAGAATTTTTTTTTTTTTTAAGTATTTCAGATGAAAGCCTTAATCAGGTGCCTGCCCCTTAAGGTAGGCTCACATGTGGTATTGTAGGGACTGAAACATGACTGTGCTCAAAATTGCAGAGTTTAAGAAACTGTAATGAACAGAAGAATGCTCCTGTTGCCAAAGGGCAAGAGTCTGGATTAGATGGGCCTGACCTTGCTCCAGTGGATCTGGCTAATCGCTTCAGGTGGTTGCTTTAGCCACTTGCTCCTTCTAAGTGAAGTATTTCAAGTGGTCCTGATGATTAGGCCCTAGATATAAGCAGGAGGTGCCCCACATCCCATGTGTACTGTGTGTGCAAGTCTGGCTGAAATAACACCGCATATTCCAGTGGTCTTGCACTATTGCCCTGTCAACATTAAGACCTGCATTATGGATATATAATTTAACCCAAGAAAGCAAGTGCTATTCTGGCTTGGTGTTTGCTCTGCCAGAGCAAGGTGGAGATGGTCCCTCTACAGCCAAGCTGAACTCCTTAGGGAATTTAATATTTTTGTCTGTTTCCTGAGCAGGTGTTTACATGTATCACAACCACTTCCCTTCAGTGGTGCCCTGGCCCCGTCTGCTCAAGAGCAACTCAACTTAGGCCCAGAAGGCTACTGAATCCCCCCTAATCTCTGCAGAGCAGAGTTTCCCTCCAGGACAGGGTTAAGAAGGTGCTAGTGGGACCAAAGCGGTCCCCTTCCATGCACATCAGTATTCTACTCTGGCACTGTTAGGGTGCTCCAAAACCATTTACATCTTTATCACTGGTACAGCTCTGAACTAAGAAATGGAAGGTTTCTTTCTTTAAGAACAATATCATGTGTGTCTTTTTGTAATTAATCAGTGTGGTTCCATGTTCTTATGTAGCCAACACAGAACTTGTATTTAGATTTAGTTCTTACTGCACTTCCCATAACCCTCATGTTGATACTTCCTCCTGCTTCCTTTGACACTTAGACAATAAAATTCCCTCTGTACTGCTCTCAGCTTGTGCAGAGAAAACAAGATGTCTGTACTGTCTTTCTTTCCAATTTAAACTTTCCCATTGTCAGTCAGCTGAGAAGTCAAAGACAAATCAGGTATAGATGCCCTGTACTTGCAACACTGTGGACATGGAAGAACCCTCATTTTCCTTCAGTCATCTGAGCAGGTGAGTGTACGTCTGTACGCACAGAGGCAGCTGCCAGAGAGTAAGAAGCACGTATGTGGCTGTATAGCAAAGGCTAAAACTCATCTTTTCATCTTGAACTGCCATTGGTCAGGCTGGATGGAAAAAAAGTCAGTGAATGCAGCAACAGAAATTTCAGTCTTGAAAGAAGACTGTAAGGGTTAACGCAAGCCTCTGCTTGCTCTGCTCTCAACATACAATCCAGTCTCCCTTCCTGGCCTGAAAAGCAATTCTGCTTAAGGTCTGTAGTTTAGTGGCCTTCCAGACTACTGACCTCACCAGGCCTTCTCAAGACAAATGCTGGGTTAACAAAGGACAATCAGCTGCAAGATTCAGTGTATTTCCCCAGCAAAGGGGATCCAACTTTATTCAGGCTATCATCTTTCAGGCATAACATACCCCTTCTCTCTAGGGAAGTGAGTAATAGCCGGGACCAGGGCCAGGATGTAGGCAAGCCTACAGTGTGTAGAGGAAAGGAATAAACATCCCCTAACCCGTTACTCCAAAGAGAATGGCACATGAAATAGTCCCTCTTAGCTAAGTTAATTATATGAACGACTTCTGCCCTGAGGGGAAGCAATTGCACAGCACCTAGTAGATGGTATGAAGACACGAAGAAAGTAGCCACTTCATAAGCCTGCGTGGCCTTTGCTCAAGCCCAGGAGTTGACAGTTGACTTCAGCAGCAATCAAAGGCTTCTTGCTCTCCTATTAAATACTTAAAGATTAATAATAGCAAAAAAAGATTAAAGTGCTATGACTTCTGTAAACCTCTACTTCAGATGCTTGCTTGAAAATACCCTCTGCCTCATGTCTTACAGGTTGTGGTGAAAATCAGGTAACTCCTAACCCCCCTATAGATAGGTCAGGGTGACTGCTAGATAATGAAGTGAGAATGGCAGGACAGTGACTTGGCCACAGCTGAGATTAAAAATAAGACTTGGCTTCTTCCTAGATCAAGCTTTCCCCCTGCTACTGATAGTTCTAGCAGTTATAGGTTAAGTTACTTAGAGATTATGCTACTTGGACCTCAGTAAAAATCCTTTATTGTGTAAAGGATACACAACTCAGCGAAGCAGCAATTAAAAAAATAATTTAGAAAAAGAAACCCAGTCAGCTACTACACCGAGAAGCTGAAGACCACAAAACTTAAGGCTCTCACATGCCTAAAAGCATATAAAAATCCATTCATGAGAGAGTGAGACTGAGCCTTAAGAGCACCATTCATGCAGAGGCTGCAGGATTACAGAAGGCAAAGGCGTACGACATGCTGTGGATAGCATGCCACTACAGACTTCAGTGAACTCTACTGAGTTGGCTTTCCTGGGTTATATTTTTATTTTGGCAAAGAGTGACTGCTCTCCTATCTCCAACCTCACTCTGGGTGAGGAAAAGAATAGCTTTAGAACAACTAACTACTGCATTCATCTACCCCCAGTTGAGGAGCAGCTCCTGAAAGCAGCCAGTAACTGAATAAACTTAGGACTGCTGTAGAAGGCTTTCCATCCAGAAAGAAAAGAAAAAAACCTAAATAACATTGCTAAGGCTTGAAGTCAAGTCTTTTTGGTATATAACAGGAAAAATTGGATGGAACAAAAACATCTTTTGTTTTAGCACATGCCAGCATCTAGTCTAGTCCTCTTCCTATTTGCCACCTCAGCACCTTGAAAGCTGCTATGTTTGTCTAACCAAAGTTAGGAAAAATTTTCCAGCTCTACTATACAGCATTCCTATTGCCTTAGAGCACAAGAATGTGCAGCCTAGATCTGAAACAAAATAAATAAATTTTAAAATAAATAAAAAGAAGAAGAGCTTCAAGACTAGAATGACATTTTCAGTGGAAGTTGGAGACAACTTGCCTTGACAGGAGAAGCCAAACTCGTACAGTTGACAGAAGGAAGGAGCTTGAGGCATGCCAGCTGTTAAATCAGTAACATTGGTTATCATCATAGCAGGTGAGTTCTCTACAGAAGCTCAGTATCATACTTTGAAACACAATGCAGTACACTCAATCGCCGAGATCATGCAGCTTGTGCATTTCAGTGGCCTGGCCAGGCAGCTACAGTCTGGTAAGAAGCAGGTCATAGCCAGGAATTCAATTAACTTGCACAACAGGAAGCCTACTGAAAGGAGGTGGTATCCCACTAAGGCTCGTGTGCTCCTCCTTTAGATGAGCCACAAAAGGCTTCATCTGCATTTGGATGAAGAATGGATATGTTTGCAAGTTCCTAACAGTACATCCAATAAATGTTCATTAGTAAGGTGGTGGCAATGGGAGGAGAAATTGCACTGCAGCAACACCCTGCTTTGCAGACTTTGCCAACACCACTCACAACCAGCATTAGGAGCAGGACACATACCTTGATCTGCTCTTAAAAGATTCTCTCTGAGATGCTGAACTGTTCTTACAGCTTCTAAGAGACTCCTCAGAGAAAAGGTACTAAGGTCAAGTATATTTCAGTGCTTCACAAAGCAGACGGCATAGAGGGCACTAATGATAAATCTTAAACTTTTTTTTGTTTTGTATCACATGAGTTATTCCCATCTAAGTGTTGGTTTCACAGCTTCCAACCCTCCCACTTAACTCTTCAGGGGTGAGGGAACCCACTATCTTATGGCTTGATGCTATTTAAATGTCATGTTTATAGTAAGACTTAGCCCTAAAGAGTTCCATCCATAGCTTTTAATTGAAGAAATACAGCTGCAGAAAAAATAAACATCAGTAACTCAGAAAACTAACTGGATATGGCAGTCGTGGGAAAACAGCTGCTGGAGAGATACCTCATAAGGAACAGGCATGGAGAAAAAAGACCTTAAGCAGCAGCCAAGTTTCATTTATTAAGAAAAGGAAAGAAACTAGAGCAATTGTATTGTTTACCACTCCTCCCATCCCATGTAATTGGGAAAACTGATTATAAAGGGCATCTCCTGAAGTGATGAACTTAAAACTGAGAAAGTGAAGGAAGTCCAACTTCTATCTAAATACCATAACTAAATACAGCCTAGCAGCTGTGCTGCAATCTAAGCTGTTTTCTAGCAAAGATACTTTGTCAAGTATCTGTTTTCCTCTACAGCTGCATGTTCCTGCAGCTTAGGAGACTGGTAACAGGGTATATATACACACCACCAGTGGACTCTGGCATCCTTTCCCTGTAAGTACGTCTCCCTGAGCTCTGCATCACTACTAAGATGATGCAAATAATCCTACCTAATGATCCCTTCCCTTTCTGAGTATAGCAGTTATTCCTGTTCCGCTTTCATATGCATTTACAGACCCCTCTAAGTCATCAGAAAGCTGTGCTAATGACAACTAGCCATGCATTCAGATCAGGAAACAGTGTTAAGAGCTACATCTGGAACCTTAGTTCTGCGTCCCACCACAAGTTGCTCATTACCACAGCCTCTTATACCACTGTGTGCTATTCTTAAAGCATCACAGAACATATTATTTTCTCCCTACAACTATATACTAGTTGCTATTTTAGAGGTAGGGACTCTTTCCACCCAACCCACACCCAAACTTCTCCTATAGTTCCCCACAGCCAGAGGCATTTACAGGTCTCCAGATCCATTTGATATAAACTCCAAATTGCTCTAGAAAACAGGGTTTTTTTCTTTCCTGAAACAGGACAAGTCTGCAGGAGCCTGTACCAGAGCTTCAGGGACAATGGTCAAAACAACCACAGCACTCAAATGGTCAACTCTGCCTTTGTGTGTCTACATGCAGTCACAAGCATTGGTCCTGCACTTCTGCAATAGTTTCACTTATAAATGCCCAAGGAAGAATGTGTGAGCCAAAGCTTCAGGAGCTGCAGGTCCCTCTGGGACCTTTCTAACCTTCAGAAAGAAGAATTGGAGGACTTGCAGGCACTGACCTGGGGTTTCTCATAACACATGATTCCATATCCAGTGTTCAACAACTCAACCATTCTGAATTCATACCATAGTATTTCATATATCGAAAGAGAAAGCATTAGCTTGTCCCGTGGAACATTAGATTTTCCAACAAAATATAGCTGGAACCTTAAACCTCCCTGAGAGATGCCTTTATGCAAATTATCTAAAAGAAAAGTCAAGTCTTTGGTTTAAACAACATGGAAGAAGCACTTGTGATGCTGAAGCACAGCTCCTATGCCTTGGTGACATCGCAGGATTGGCAGCGTGCTTCGGCCAGTGCAGGGGCAACCAGCTCACCTGGTGCTATAGGGTGCCCACCTTGTGGGTCTCAACAGGCAGGGCAGGAGGGCTGCTTTCACACAAACACAGCCCCCTCACCAGCTCACCATCAGACCTAGCCAGCAATTATAACTGAAGCAGACAGCCAAAGATATAAATGCCAACACAATGTGTCACTGGTTTTTGTTTTGCTTTTCCTTGGTTGTTTTTAAACCTTTAGTGTCTTCCAAATTTCCTACTACAATCTTACCAGCTGGTGGGAGTTATGTGCAACCAGGCTGCCTTCTGGCAACTTCTTTTCAAGCCTGACAGAAAATAAAGCTCTCAGTTCACCAATTTCTCCTTCCTCCCCTACTTTACAAATGCAACCAATTACAAAATCAGAGTAAGAGTACTTGCAGAAATTAGTGCAACTGTCAGATAAGCAGAGCCATAATAATACACAGCTCCCCATGTACTAACACCAGTGCCACACCATTACCTATGAAACTAAGGGCAAACAAAGCCACACATTTATTCACCCCCAGATTTCTGTTCACTTATACGGACTCCTACATGTTATCCCAACTGGGTTAGCAAAAGCCAGCCACACATCACCAGGCAAATACCACACCACCTCGCAGGGGCACGAAGGGAATATGCAGTCCTTACACAATCACATGGGCATGGAACACAATGGCCCCACACACCACTTGTTTCTGTACAGTTTACAGAAGCTGTAAAAGATCAGCAGTATTCGCTTTCTTTGGGAGGAGGTAAGTGTTCCTGAACACAAACCATTTTGCAAGACAAGTCCAATGCCAAATAAACCACCTCTGGGATCTGGGGATGTGCTGGGAGACAACAGCTAGGCTCACTTTTTCCCTCTCTTCAATCCCCATTACTACTATCTTGTGTAGCTCATTTGTCCTCTCTTCCTTCACATCCCAGCCAGCAAAGTCTTGTTGAGCAAGTCCTCACAGGGTTCAACTGCCAGGAGCACAAGGTGCTGCAGTTACTTGTGGTTTTTTCTTAGATTATAAAAATTTTATTTTTCAGTAAGAAAGTAACATTTAAAATATGAAAGTCCCTCAACAAAACCCAGGAAGAAAGAACAATATTTCAGGTGTACCTTCCCATAGAAACCTGAGATCAGACCAGATTTCCCTGCCCCATTTGTGAACAGACTGATACAAGTTTCTGCCAATATTGCTCTCATCTCTCATGGAAAAACTGAGCACCAAATGTCAGGCTGGACTGGCAAATCTGCCCTAGGAACAGGTACAGTTCTATTGTTTTTGTACTGCCCAAGCCACTGCTGACAAAAGTACACTGGTAGGACACCAAACACACACTGGGATCCAAGCGATTGACAATCTGGCTCCAAGTTACACAGCCTTCCCCTCCCTCCCAGCGTCTGTCAAGAGACAGGAGTCAGTCCTACAGGGTCTACGTACCTAAACATGCCTTGCTCAAGAAGGCAGCAGTTGCAAGAACTTCAGCCTGGTGCAGGAGGATGCTACAGGTTGGCTATCACCCCTGGCAGGCTGAACGGAACCGGGAGGGCACAGAGAAAGAGTTGGGCAAGTGACAGGTATCAGTTCTTCCACCTGAAGGCCCTGCTGCCTCTTGCATGCCTTCCATTTTCATCTCTTTTGGGATCTCTGTCCTGGTTTGGGCTGAAATAGAGTTAATATTCCTTTTCAGGGACTAGAGGAGTGCTGTGTTTTGGATTTAGCTTTGGGTTTGGTATGGGAAGAATGCTGATAGCACACTGGTGTTCTCAGCTGCTACCGAGACTTCAAGGACTCTCCGACTCCCCATGTCCTGCCCGTGCGCAAGGGCACAGGGAGCAGGGAGGGAGCACGGACACAGCACCAGACCCAAACTGGCCAATGAAATATTCCATATCATGGAACGTCATGCTCACTATATAGAGCAGGGGTGGTCAGGAAGGAGCTCTCTCTCGCTTCTGGGATTGCGATTGTGGGATCTTGGCATCTCAGGATCGCCAGCCGGGAACGGGCTGGGTATTGGTTAGCGGGTGGTGAGCAATTACATTGTGCATTGCCTGTTCATATTTTTTTTTTCTATTATTGTCATTGTTCTCATTTTATTACCATTATTAAACTGTTCCTACCTCAGCCTGCAAGTCTCCCTTTACCCCTCTAATTCCCTCCCCCATTCCCAGGTAGGGAGGGGGAAGGGTGGGTGACCAGCTGTGGTGGTTGGTTGCCGACCAGGCTCAGACCACGACAATCTCCCAGAGCATTAGGCTCCTGGGGTTGTCATGCATTACAGGACGACCTTTTCCACCTGACATTCACTGGGATGATCATAAATATTTTTCCTACATGTGCCAAAGTAGGTACCATTCTGAGACTGATGGAAAGGAAGGGAGCCTTTCCCAACGCCTCTAGGCTTTTGCTGCAGCTCTAGAGCTCCTGTGAGTGGACCTGTAGAACTCGTGGCTCCGTTCTTGCCAATGCCATTCTCTGGCCCATTAGTCACAGCAGGCAGCTTCTTGTAGAAACTGTTCAACTACACAACTCCTCCTGCCAGCAGGGCAGCCATTGCACATTATTAAGTGAAAGCCATTTCCAAGCAGTTAGCAGAGCCAACATTCTCAAAGGCAACGTGACAACTAGTCCTGGAAAGACCATACTTCATAAACCATCACTGAGAAATTAAAAGAACTATTGTTTTGGTGTGAAAGAATATTGGTGTATACATCCCCTGCTCCTTGGTAGCAATTAACTAACCAGAAGCAGTTGCCCCTCTCTTTCCCAGCTCCTTGAAGATCTCACACAGGGACAAATAAACATGGGAGTTATGTTGGTTCCTGCAGCACTAAAACATCTGCTAAACAAAGCAGCAGAACAAGGGTCCCTTTTAGAGATGGTAATGCCTGAATACAGCTGAAAGCCCACTTAGAACACAGCTCAGGTTTGCAGAGCCCCACAAAGTACCAATGCACAAAACGCCCCAACTCCCCCATCCCTGCTTTTTCTGAGGGTGTGAGAGGAGAAAGGGACTTTTAGGGCATGACAAGGAAAGAGTTTTCTTGTAAGCAGGTTGTGCAATCCAGAGCCTCAACTGCTATATTCAGAACAGCTTTTCTTTAGGGAAAGGGAACCAGAACTAACCCTCTCTGAGGCTGGAGATCTCCAAGCCAAAGCTAGCCAGCAGGCAGAGATGATCAGATGAACAAAAAGGATTTGGTAAGCCATTTGCCAACAGCAGGACATCTTCAGAGAGAAGGGAAAGGCGGCCAAGCAGCTTCAGAGCTCCATCCCGGTACAGCCTGCGACCTGACAAAGAAAATGGAAAGAAACATCAGCCAGAAACTGGTGCTGTAGATTAACTCTATACACTCACAAAAGGATGCTTGGCAGTGCTTTCCTATTCTTTCCCTGATGAATGAAGACAGCCTGCACAAACACTGCATGCACCTTTAAGCTTAGATGTGAAAGCAGTGAGCATCCTACAATACTGCTGTTCAGTGGTTTCATACACTTGCAGGCACAGGAATCAAGTACATACTAAATTCACCAGGCAGTTGCTTACATGACAAATTCCTTTCATGGTCCTAAGTCCCAGCAATAGCTTCAGATTCTCCCCTGAGGAGGAATTCATCTCTTCATTCCTAACCTCCTCCCCAGAGTTGATTCTGACATGCTCCAAACCAGCTCATGAACAGTTCGTGGATGCATTTACACACAGTCTTTCATCAACATGACTCCTGTTTCAAGTAGCAGAGAGGTGGTGCCATTGTCAGGTAACCAGAGTGACCACCTTCTAAGGCCAGTGTGTGGTATCAGTCAGACCAGAAGTCCAAGCCTTGGACTTAGGACCCAGCACTGCCTGTCATCAGGAGCACAAGTAAGATAATTATACAAAAGAACAGAATCCATTTTGTTCTAGCTTCCTCAAAAGTAACATGAACCTAAGCTAAACAGCTTCAGTTTTTCCACAGCAAAGATACACAGTGTCTTCCTATGATACCTGAGCAAATGCAGCTTTCACTTTGTGCATCACTTCAGTCAAAGCCACACCCTGTAGATCCACCCCAGCTTAACCCTCAGTTCACTGCCCAACACCAAGCTGCATTTGGGCACACCTCACAGCCCTCTCCCAATGCACATGGATAAGCCCTGCACTGCCACACTCACCTCCTCTGTTCCCATTCTCCACAGGCTCTGCTGAGTAGAAGATATAATCAACGGTGGCTCCGAGCCCCATAGGCATCGTTGTGACCTCCGGGCGTCCCCTCTGTGGCAGGAAGTGGCTGTAGACAGAGGTCAGGTTGAGGCCATGCTGGATAACGCCTGAAGACCTGCACAGGAACAGCCACCATTTACCAAGGAAGGAAAGAGTGTGATGCAGTGTTCAGTACTGCAGTCACAGCTGAAGTTGGATGTTCCCTTGCAACTGCCTAAACTATTTCTACTTTGTGAACACATAAAAGACAGACTTTCAGAATTACTCACTCTTCTTACACCAAAGACATTGTGGACTATGAACCTCCTTTGTCTCCAATACCCAGTCCTGTTTACGCCCTTCGTTTCTGACCTCACCAACACAATGCTGACAGAACAGCACCCAGCTGCTGGGACAAACCTGGGTGGATCTGGCTCTTCCAGATAGCCCTCCTTACTCTCTTCCTTCCTCACATCTATTTCAGTCTTTACTTCAGCCAGATTTTCAGTGCTGAGGAAAACAAGACCAGGCTTGAAGAGTGGGGCCATGGCAGGTGCATCAAGTTACCTTGGGACGAACGGCTGGGGATCAGGGTCTTCCAGCATGGCAGCAGGCTTGGGCCAGTGTGCAGGGCGGTCTGCAAAGGAGCAAAGAGATTCCAGCCAGACCTACACAGATCCTGGAACAGGCTGCTCATCTCAAGTCTGAGAAGCTTCTCCTGAGACCAATTCACGAATCTTTTTGCCCAAGAAGAGCAGATAGCTTCCAGTCACAGGTACCTTAAAGAAAAAATATTCAAAGGAAACCCCAGGTCTAAGACTAACAGGAACAGCCTGAGAATAGATCACTGCAAAAAACTGAGAAGTCATATTCTATACTGCTAAGAACATGTCCTTAAAGCATTTAATATTATCAAAGCTCAGGGTATTTCAACCTTTGGTCTCAAAGAAAATTCCTTTGCCTACAGCTTTCTCAAATGGTGTCTACGAAAGGCAGAACAGAAATGCAGAGAGCAGAACCAGCCACGCCACAAGACCTGGAGGTGAGGCACTGTCTACTGGCTACCAGCATCCAGACACATATATGTTGTGGCCATTGTGACATTAGAGTCCTCAGGTTTGTTCTCCCCCACCAAAAACCTTGAAGCAGAACAAAATAAATATGTATATGTACTCCACTTTATACGAAACAGCCTCCAAAAGAGGCTGGATCTCAGTGCATCTCAAGGAACACAGTCAGTGTGTATGGGGGTGGTAAGACTGCACTCCTCTGAGCTCTCACAGAATCCATTAGTAATCACACAGCCACAGAAGTCACCCCGCTGCCTTCCACTTTTCTCACTAGGCATTACCTCCACCTCATGTTTTCATCAAAATCTAGCTAGGAGAGTCACAAGCTGAAAAATTTCCCATTAATACCTGGTTTAGCATCTGTCACACCTTCCAAGAGGATCAGCTGCGGTGGTCGTTTACAGGCAATGTCACAAAAATGAAACTGGAGCAGGAAGTCACGGCTGTATTTACGTCTGCCTGCAGAGAAAAATACAAGTTAAAAGAAGAAAATAACTACAGCAAAGTCACATCTACAGGGAGCATCTGCACCTCCACCTAAAGGTCTTCAGACCTTTAGACCTATTTAGTTTGAGAGAGGTTTTTCTGCCTAAGCACTCTGATACCATGGGAAGAGGAATCACTTAATAACCTAAACGTAGAACAGAACAGATGTGTAAATGCAGAACAGAGCACAGTTATTGCTATCCCTTTAGCTAATGCAACAGTCATGGTCAGCACCTTGATGAAACAAATGAAGAATGTCACCTCTGAGACATCACAAGTTCAAGGAACTTTTAAGCAGTGTGCAACTTAAGGAAATGTCTGACAAAAAAGAAAAAACAGTTCTGGAGATCAGGTTGAATACAAGTTCTACATTCAAGATTCCAACAAAAGCTATTTAGTGTGGGATCCTTTTTTTTAATCCTCTCTAAGGACAGCAGAGAATAGTCATGATCACAATTGGGCTCTGAGGACTTTCCTAATAGTGGTGTGCAAACACTGCCCAAAACCACTCCCACAAACACCTGCAGCTGAAAGCTGTGGCTGCTGAACATGGTTCACAACTGCACAAAAGCGTAAGTCTGTGAATATGAAAAAGAGATACATAGAGCAATGGTAAGGGAACATTCAGCTCCTGACTAGAGAAAGGAAACGGCAGAAATTGGGGCTACAGCAATAGACTCCAGAAAAATTAAATTCAATTCATATACCAAGGAAATGGACAGAAGAGAATCTTTGCTGGGTGCCTCATGCAACACATGCCCAAGCTACTCAGAGATAGGAAGGCCCACAAACTGTCCATCCTCAGCAAACTCATGTTCTCAGCGCACACTGGAGCTCACCTAGCTTCTTTGGCTGGCACAGGGTGACATATTGGCAGTTGTCCGTTACACCCAGTGAGCTTGGCCACAGCGGGGCCAGCAGTTTCCGTGAATACAACTGTTGGGAAAAATCCTCCTGACCAGACACCTGCAAGGAGGCCAGAAACAGGAGAGAAAATATCAGCAACACAGAGCAGAACTTTTGCAAGCTGTAGATAACGTACGTATATACACTGGCCAAGAGCAAGACAAGAAAAGGCCCTCCTAGAAAGGCGTGAACTAAGCTATTCAGAATATGGTGCAGAGGTAATAAACCTTCAGCGGTGGGAGAGGGATACAATTAGCTACAAGTCACTTGACAAGACACTTGACAGACATCTGAACTGATGTTTAGCTTGAAAGCCACTGATGTATTTGATCATGGATACACAGTAACAGGTAACCACAAGAGACTCTAGCACAGGTGCTCATCTGAAACCATTCTCAGATCAAGCACCCACATAAAATTTCAGCAAGTCTTGGTGGAGTTGTACTCCCTCCAGTCACCCAAGCACAAAAATCCCATCGCAAGGAAAAACCAGGACCTGAAATTAAGTGGTCTATTATCACTGGTCTGCCTCAAGGGAAAACAAAAGAGCAGTGGTGGAAACAACATGCACGTGTTTGTCCGCTTCTTTCCCCAGCAGCGCTGGAGGCATTGAGGAAGACTCCTGAATAACTGAATTCAATATTCAGGCTATTTCCTCATGACAGAAAGAATGCAGCCATGAATTTCTCTAGCAGCATGCAATAAAGAGCTATCCAGTCCCAGCCCTACCTTCCAGGCTGGCATCCCATGGTAGGACAGTTCACCGTTCCGGATGAATTTGTAGAGTGGAGAATCAGGTACAGAGTTCAGGTCTCCACACAAGATGACAGGACAGTAGCTGCCTTTAGCAGTTTTTGCAATTTTGTCAATCTCTGCTAGGAGCAAGGCCATCTGGGCCAGTTTGACATCTCCCCGACGAGGATTGAACAACACATGAGTGTTGGCCACGCACAAAGGACTGATCGACTTCAGATCTAGGCCCTCCGGGAGCAGAGGCTGCAGCAGCAGCACCAGGCCCACATTATCCCGATTGAGGACATCCAGGCCAGGCCGGAAGTATTCTACAGGGCTGAGGCTGAGCAGCTGGAACCTGCTGTGCTTATAGCACACTGCACAGCCATCTGTCTTCGTCCCAGTCCTCCGTTTATAGAAGCATGCAAAGCCTGAAAAGAAGCCATCACATATTAAAAGGTTTATCCAGTCACTACCTCAGGCTCCCCCTGTCAACTGGGGAGTTCAGCAAGTCTGTGTTGCAGAAGAAATTCCTACTACATTTGAGTATGGCATTATACCCAATTCTGTTCCAATAATCACAGTTTATCAATTATTTTCTCTCTGCTTGTCCTTTTAGGACCCTCTCGGTTTTGTTACACTGATCTGTCAACTATGAGAAAGATCAATTACAAAAGACAGAGTAAAGGTCTAGGCAGACGGTTCAGAAGTAGGGCCGGCAGCCACATAACAAAAAGGAAGAGCTCCTTCAAGACTGAGTGCTTTGAAGATGTTAAGCAGGAAGCACTACTTGGCCAGTCCCGTGATCTGAAAGTACAGACACACAAAAGCAGGACATACCCATCTCTTTGAATGTCGGTTCCAGCTGCTCCCAGTAATGGTTCTCTTGCACCTCCTGGAGACACAGAACCTAGAAGGAAGGTAGAGACCTCACTCACTCCACCAGTATTTGGTAGTTACCTTGTTTTGGGGAAGGAAGAAAGTGGAAAAGTGCACTCACATACAAACCCTGGAACCAGAAAGGTCATCGCTGAAGTTCTGTCCTGTACTTTCCAGATAGAGAGTAATAACTTTCTGGGTCACTCTAGCTTATCACTCAGTTTTCCAGTGATGAGGCAGAAGATCCTTCATCACACAAAGTGGACTCAAGGAACAGAGAAAGTCATGAAGTCCTCTTCTATGCAGGTTTCTCCACCTGTGCTGCCTTATAAACCGGGTCCTTTCCTCCCCAAACACACATTATCTCTTCACCCTCTACTTCTGTTTAAAGATGCCAAGCCCTGCTATCAAAGTATGACTGGTTTCTACAGTAACACAGTGAAAGCAAGATAGACACCAAAAAGACATATGCACAAGGCCTCAGACACTCAGAGGAATTAGTGTTCAGTTACCAAGCAGGTACTCTTTTCCTAGATCTTCCCTCCTGTTTTTAATTTTTTTTTTTTTTTTAATGCTGTTAGATCAAACAAGGAATTAAAATTCTGATGACACTGGCGTGGGAAGGGATCAGTCATACTCACATCAGGATCCCAGTGCTGGATCTCCTGCAAAAGGTTTGGAAGGCGGTAGTTCCAGTTCAGGATGTCTGGATGACAGTGTAGATAGAGATCAAGGCCCTGCTCCACCAGGTCCTGGGCAAGGATGTTGTAAGACATGACTCGAAATTCAAAAAGAGGAGTGTTTTTCGAGACCTGCTCTAGCACACAGGGCTGGACAGAGAGATCCTCCCAGTCTCTCCATAAAATCTCTATATGCAAGAGACAAAAAGCCAAGTTACAGCCATGCTGGGTACCCTGCTGACACTTTTGCCCCCATGGGACCCAGAAAATAGCCATTGTCATTCACTAAGCCAGGGTGTTCTAGCCTTTGAGCAAATCCTCACCCACTCTGATTTTCTGGTGCTCTTTTTGGATGCCTTTGGATAGTTGCCAATGGGGATGGCATAACAGAAGACCAGTCAAGCATACTGAAACACTCAACTGGCTTTTGGGTGCTTTTTATATTTTAAAGCCAGCAGTTGGAAACAGTTCTTGGGAAATAAACATACACTGACGTTCAGACCAGATGGTCTGATAGCACAGAGACTACTAGTTGCGACCAGCCCTCCCTCAGCAAAAACTCACTTCATGGTTTTCACTAGCAGATCCTGTCAATTCTGCATGGACAGACACAATCAACGTCTTACTGACAGCGAGCCCAGGCACAATAACCTGACCACGTTCACTGCAAATGCAAATCCCAAACCGAACATCAGATTCAGAGCTGTTACTACTGACCATGGTAGGGTACCTCTGTCGGAAGAGGACAAAATTGTACCGCATCCTGAATGGGCCAGGCTGGGGGCTCCGTTGGCAGTGTCTCTGCGTCACGTGCTAAACTCCAGGCCAGCACAGCTGGGTCTTCATTCTGCACTTCTACATCAACAGTGGCACAGCCAGCTCTCTGGAGATCCGTCTGGGGCACCAGAGCTGCCCAAGGGGCACTGCCTGTTACAGCCACTGTTTCCTCTGCTGTTAATTTTGACAGTTCAGTCACTACATGATCTTGTGGTTCTGAAGAAGCCAAGGCATGTAGCTCTGCAAGCTGCTGACCAGCACACTGGGTGACTTCTGGAGCCGAATTCAGGTCATTAAGGCTAGTCATCAATAGCTCTGAACCTTCAAACCAGTCACTAGTGAGCGTAACTGATACTTTCCCCACTGCTGGAGCACTCTCACCGGCTGGCAAATTCCCTGCTCCTTCCTCCAGCCACTGCTGGAGAAGGGCTTCTTGCTCTTCTGGGACCGACCTTCCTCTAGTCGCAGCAAAGACTCCTTCTATCTGGGTGGACGTGCTCTTCGCCAGAAGCACATTCTTTCGACAGGTAAAGAAAGCATCTGCCATTTAAAACCAAACAAAACCACCATGAGACAGATGGAAATCCTTTCTCACTTTTTCCTAGGCATTTGCTGTAACTGTGCAATACAACCAACCAGTACCGCAACCCAAATGACTTCTCTGAAGAAAAACAGTTACAGTCTGAATAACTTACTCTGCCTCCTCCTGAATGCTAGGCCACAGCCCAATTCCAGTTACATTAGTCCAAGTCTCTGAAACTGTACAGGACAGCAATGGCTTTACCAACTCTAAGGAATGCAGTTCTAACTTATGCAGCACCATAGACAGTCAGCCAAGCTAACAGGTCTTATGGAAACTACCTCTCAGCAACACATATCAAGGCACAGTCTGTAGAACTTAGTTGATATGGGGTCCACAGGCTAAGAAGACAAGCTCCTGTAGATTACCACTTGGAGCAAGTTTCTTTCCAGAGATTGAGTAAGAAAGTAGTGCTCAGCTAAGAGGACCAAACATATCACAAAAATATGTTGTGGAAGAAGAACTGTTCTGTTATAAAGAGATGAAACATAAAGACACAGAGGGACTGACATGTGCAGTTAAAAGCCTTATTAGAGAGAATATATGCAAAGAAGAAATCCTGGTAAGAATTACAGATCACAGACTGACATCTGTGGTAAAAAATTTAAAAAAACTCTGCTGTTAATGGAATACTTGAATATACTAATATTGGTGGGGTAAAGTAGAAAAAGACAGGGACCCTTTTCACTTCTGTCTATATAAGAGGTGACAGCATTTACGTTTTGCTATGAATTCTGCACAGACACTGGTCCCTACTGTCGATTAGCAATTTCTGGCGTCTACAAATCACTTTTTCTCTACTGTATCCCTGTGAGAGTCAGCCAGAGCAGTAACATAGAGGAGTCAGCAATATCTGTGTATGCTTTTACTGGATCTTTTGTGTCTAAGCTTTCTGTATGTATCAGAAATGGAGCTTTAAGAACCATTCTCCTCTCTGTGGTTTTGTAACTAAGTTCATGAACATCAGAAACACCAATGTACCAAGTTAGTATTTTCACACACCACTAGCCAGGCACAGCTGTTACAAGAGCTTGTTAACTACAGGATAGATTCTGAATTTGAGAGGAGTCAGCTAGCTGCTCAGTATGACCAAAGCATCTCAGTGGCTGCTACAGGCCTGGGACAGGCTCAGGCAGGATGGTGGCTTTACATCAGTGCAGTCACCAGTGACTCTGAAGCAGCAGCAGGATCTAGGAAACTAATGAAATAGTGATGCACACAAAGCCAGAGCCCATCCGTGAGCCACCCGCAGGTCCTTGGGGAGTCACAGACCTCAGAGCAGCCCATCTCCAGAGATCTCCCTAAATCCGCAGCGCAGCTCCGGGCCAGGAGGCCCAGGCCTCCACGCAGACCGCGATCTGCCGCTGCCCCACAACAGCCGGCAACTGTTCCCTCCAAAAACCCAGCCCCCGCGCTGCCCCGGGGGGCGAGCACCCCCGGCCCCGCACAGGTGCCCGCACCCCTTCGGGCAGCAGCCCCAGGCCAACCCCCCCCCGCCGGCCCCCAGCCGCCGAGGCCCCTCCGGCCGCAGCCCCCCAAGGCTGCACCCGCACCCCGCACCCCGCACCCCGCCGCGGCTCCCCCGGCCCCGCCGCCACCGCCCGCCCGGGGCCGGGTTACCTCGGAGGGCCCGGAGGAGCCGCGCCGCCGGCAGCAGCACGTAGCAGAGCACGGTGCCGATCATACCGCCCGGCGCGGCCCGCTCTCCGCCGCCCCGGCCCGGCCCCAGCCAGGCGCCGCGCCGGCCCCGCCTCAGCAACGACCTTAGGGCGCGGCCTCGGCCTGTGCCCCGGCGCCGCGCAGGCACTCACCGCGCCGGGCAGCGGCTGAGGCCGGCCCGGGCCCGGCCCTGCTGCTGCTGCGGGGCTGCGGGGCTGCCCGCCCTCGGGAGGCCGCGGCCGGAGGGTGGGACGGCCCCGGCGGGGCGGCCCCGGCCGGGGTGGGGCCGGAGCGCAGCCGGGGCCCGGGCCCGGGCCCAGGCCCGGCCGGTACCGGCAGCGGGGCCCGGCCGCGCTGCCGTGCCCGGGGTCAGGAGCTGTGACCCTCACCTGGGTGACGGCAGCTTTCCGGCCCCGCCACCCTGAAATTTGTGTTTTCAAACAAAAGTTTTCACACACGTCCCCGCGTTGTCCAGAAAATCAAAAAGAAAGAAAAATTTCCAAGATTTTTTTTTTTTTTTCCCCCTGGAAAGGCACTGAGTAAATAAAGCCCCATTTGCTCCAGGTGAGTTAATAATTACACCAGCGTTGCAAATACAGTTGATGGTAGTCAAGGTTTTGCAGCGTACGACCTCTACGTGGTCAAATGCCGCTGGGGGTGGGTGAAATACCAGTGACTCTCCTCGGGCACGCTGCTCATCGCAGCTCTGCAAAATCCCTCCCTCTCACCTGGCTGTGAGCACGCTGTGGCCTTTGCAAGTTGAGACCCATCACGTGTTGAAACCTGACAGTTTACTGTGAAAAGAGAAGTCCTGGTTGAAGTCCACATTTTTAATGTTCTGCTTTGTTCCACATTTGAATGTATGCAACATCTAAAGGCAAACAGATCGAACTGAGCACTGCTATGGCTTTTTACACCAAATACACACTTCTAATGTGCAATCTTGGTATCCTTCCAAACTCTCCTTAAGATGGGCACTTGCAATGGGCTCAAGATTCTTGTCATCCCTGCCTTTTGCACTGATGAGTGCTGCCAAACTGCTCCTTTGATGGTGACTAGCTGCTGTCTCATGAATTATACTTAAATGAAACTTTTTGAGGGACAACCTATTTGTGTATGGTGATTAGCACAATGGGTGTCCGCATCTAGGATCTAAGCTGATGGTATAATGTATATAAATAATAATTCCACTGGTGTAATTTTCAAATCCCCAGTTATAAAACACCACGGACCATAGACACAGTGACTTGTCTCAAATCCCACAGATGTCCCTGGCAAAGCACAGAACTGGGCTGTGGTCTCCCATCTCCTGCTGCCATAAGCAAACCTCTGGAGACCACCATTGGTTTCTAGTCAGAAAATGGAGGGTGTTCTCCAGAGGAAGGATCTGCAACATTAAGGGCTGATGACTCGGGCATTTTAAAAAAGGCTGTTCTTTAAAAGGAAAGATCTAAGAAAGTCTCTTTAGACCCAACCCACATCAGGATAATCAGAGCAAAATCAGAGAAGAATGTTAGCCAGTGCCACAAACAAGCAAGTATCTGGACAGCCACAGTTGTTTGGCCTACACTAGAAAAAATATTTACAAACTTTGGCAGTAAAATCAAAGCTGACAATGGTCATCTGCTTCAGGGTCAAACCTTCCACTGGCTTTTGTGGCATTTTGTTCTATATCCAAATATAAACCTACCATGGTCTCTAATGACGGGACTACTTGAGAGGTTTATGTAGAACATAGGGGAATAAAACCACTAAAAATACCCTATCCTTGGGGAAATGGACTCTTTCTTCCTCTCCGTATAGCCCATATTACACTGTGTAGGCTACATAAACTTCAAAATCTGTATGAGAGATTATGTCCACTGAGCATTGCTCATAATGGAAAGATTTCTAAGTGTATTTATTAGTTCTGCTCAACCTTTATCATAAAGCCTCTTCTGTTACACTTTTGGCTTTAGCCCCTTGGGAAAGGTCATGAAGTCCTTGGTATAAATGATGTAAAATAATAAGCACTGAACCAATTTTTGCACCAACGGTAGCTGGTGGGATGAATGAGTATTGGATTCGAGGCCCCATTAAGTGCTGACATGCTTACAAGCCACACTTTATTACTGAACATTCCAGGAATTTGGTGGTAGGGAAGTCTGAATCTGTACAAGACTAATAAGGCGAACATGCTCTTTCTATCCTTATCTCCTTTAAGATGATAACTGCCGCAGTCTGGCTTTCTCATGAAACTGTACAAACCAGGATATGAACTCAAAGGAGAGGAGAGCTCTTACCAACAGCCTGGCACGTCTCTCTGATAAGCCGGGGGACTTTCACAGCCAAAATCACATCTGTTCTCTTGTCAGTTATTGGGAGCCAACGGGATCCCAGAGCAACAGGGTTTCCAGCACTGAATGTCACCCCTTGGAGTCAGAAGGTGCAGGTGAGGTCACAGAAGGGTGGTGGTGGCAGGACGGGGACAGGGCAGCTGCAGGCTCTGCAAGGGGCTTTCTCATGACACCTGGCCAGCCCCTGCAAGTGGGAAATGGGATTCTCCTGATCATAAGTAGTATAAATCAAGAACACAGATCTTACAAGTGACACCATTCCTCCTGGAGATGCTTTAATAGTAGCCAAGCAGCTGCGCTTTTTGTGTGTAGGTGTGAGGCACTTACAGGGTCAAGGAGGTGGCTGTGAACTCCTTATTTACAGAAGAGGAAAAGCAAATGGACCCACCGCTCACAGGTGGTGACATGGAGAACAAGTCTGAGAAGGACACAGGTGCGGTGTTTAGTTACTAGCAAACTCACTTCAGAAATAGACAGGAGTGGCTAAAAAAAATCACCAGCACCCAAGAGGGACGGCTGTTGCAGCAGGCCTATCAGCAGTGGGAAGGCTTCCCTTCCCCACGCCAGGCAGCAGTGAGAAGAAAGGTGGCAAACAGGGATCCAGGGTGCCAGCGCCCAGAGACAGGACCTGCTATCAGGAGCAGCTTGGAAAGAACAAAATGCATCAGAAGGGGGTTTGCCAGTACCAGCTCCCAGGCAACTCCACCCAGCTGCCCCTCATGCCCACAGGAGATGTCAGAGCTCAGCACCTCGTGAGACCAGATCGTGTTGGAGCCCTCCATCACCCAGGGGGACAGGCAGGGTGTGAGGGGCAAAAGAGTTTTCTGAGCCTGCTCCTGTCAGGCTGTGCTTGTACACAGCAGTCAGGCTCCAGGTCTGCTCACAGCATTTTGGCCTGACTTCCTAGATTAGCATAACGGTTCCTCTTAAAGTTCAAAACCTCCTTTGATCTGTCGCTTAGTCATTACAAATTAATTCCTTATTTTCCTTCATAATCCAATTACTGTAAGGTAGCCAGATATGTGGGACAACTTCTCTCTTTGGTTCTTGTTTTTCTATATTTAAATAGAGTATAATGCAATTTATGAAGTTTTACATAATAATTTTCCCTAATGGTTCCTCTAATAGAGGAGATCCTCTGTCAGATATTTTCCATTGATTCACAATTACGTTTGTCTAAATATCCTTTATTATTTTCCTGTAAAGGTATCTCTGGGGATTTTTCTGATCCAGCAGTAATAATTTGTTGCCTATTTAGGATTAGCCCCTTTTAGACAGCTTTTCTACAAACAAGGTTTCTGGTCTTGACTATGAACTCTTGAAATTTTCACTCCTTAAGTGGGATCTGACAAAATTAATTACCTGCTATCAAGCCCAAACAATTATATTAAAATTAGTATTTCTCATGGGTTTTTGACAGTATTATCTCTAAAAATGTTATCACTAGGAAATACATGTCCAGTTAATAGTTGATTGCCATTTTCCTTTATATATTGGATTAAATAACCGTGGGTAAAATGGTGGCTGAATTTGACTGACAGCAGCAGTGAGGAGAATTATATAATTGTTAATCCTACCCTATTCCAGATAGAAAATGTTGTCAAAATGTCTGGTTGTTTTGCTTTTTTCTTGGTCTAAATTATTTATATTAGGATGGAGAAAAAAAAACAGTTTGTTTGTTTTTTTTTTTTTTTATATCCACAGTGGCACGACTTAAAATAGGAGATTTGATACCCTTGACTAGACGACCAAGTTAAGGCACACACATTTTTTTACAAACCACAGTAAACCTGATTTCTCAATTTTTCAACAAATGACAATTCCCAAATACTTTGCTTAGATATAAAAACACGTCTCATAGCTGTTTCCTCATAAATTCCTTCAACACCTAATACTCCCAAGTTAGTATAATCATATAGTTTGACACGTCACTGAATTAACTGATTTCTTACAGAGTGTAAAAAAATGCTTATATTTGAGCATTCACATTAGTATCATTTTGTCTGTTTACTGCAAAATGCTATGTTCCATTTTATGAGATGCTCCAGTTGAGCTGTTATTCTGATGTACTTCTTATGCCAGATGTTTAGAATTAAAGAAGTGAGGACAACCTTGGTAGCTTCCTTTCACAGCTGAAATTCCTTAGTACATATCAATTAGATTTTATCCTGGCAGAGAAGGAGAACAATTTATCAAAATCTTCATCTGACCTTTACATCCATCATTAGTGATTCTAAGAGAGACCACTTCATTAGTTTAGTGGCATGAACTAGGACCTTGTTGCAATGCCAGGCAAATTATAAGAAACATTTTCTGTACTCCGCAAAGCTATTGAAGTATAAATTGCTAGTGTGATTTACCAAATATTTGTATAACACAAATGAGGGTACAACATAAAGCAATGTACCCAGAGAACAGGCATTGTTAGCCTAGCACAAGGGAAGGGATTTGCAGTTATCTGGATGCATCCTGCACAAGTCACACAACAAACCATGGAGTGAATTGCCCTCTTAGATCCTGATTCATGACTGGTGCAAGTCGTGCATGAGGCAGGCTGACCAGAAAGCTCTCTGCAGCCCCAACACCCGCGGGAAGGAGGGGATGATAAAGGAGTCTCCAGACCCATCACTTTCCACTGCATTGGTTTTAACACCAATAATCGTTTCAATGCTTTTCAAAGTTGTGCTTGAATGATGGTATTATCATCTGTATCAGTCCCAACTTCTACAGATCCACAGGGATGCAGGAACCACTTCTGTATCTACCTCAGAAGGCTCAGGCCACACACTGCAAGACTAGCTGATGTCC